ATACCTGTTAAATTAAGTATTAAGTATAAATATTCAAGTATTTAAGTAAATATCAAACTTAAAAAATTATATTTAAAATTTTTTTAATCAAATATTAAATATAACTCGTATTATAACTCGTGCTCAACCACTTGTACCAAAAAAATGCTCACCCCTAATTCCGGTACCCTGCTGGGTTCGTCTAGGCCCAAAGCATCGAATCTTGCACTATCATGATGGGTTTGCCTAGGCCTAAAGTATCCAACCCACTAATAAGTCTACTCTCTTTTTTTTTTGTTTTTTTTTTTTTCCGGTAAAAAGGAGATTAGATTAACATAAAACAAAGAGAAACATCTGTGCGAGCTAGGGAAAGCGTACCCCAAAAGGTCCAAAATACGAAACAATTTGAACAATTTGACACTGGAGGAACGTTGGGAAAACACACCAAAATCTTGAGTGAGAGTGTGTCCCATCCTAGCCATTTGATCAGCAGCCATATTGGACTGACGGACAACATGAACCAACTCCACATGTGGGATCTGGTGGAGCAAGTCCCTACAATCCAAAATGAGAGAACTAAGAACATGCAAGGTTAAGGGAGCAACAGACAGTAAATAAGAGGCAACAGACGCATCCGTTTCAACAATAAGGTGAGTGATATTTCTAGAGATAACCAAGTGAAGTCCATCACGGATGGCCTATAACTCAGCAGCCAAACTATTAGTGGCGGTGCCGATGTTCTACTCGAAACCACCAAGCCAATTTCCATAGCTATCCCTGAAGATACCTCCTGTGGCAGCAGCACCAGGGTTTCCAAGAACTGAGCTGTCCGTGTTAAGTTTGATTAAAGGGTTGGGCGGTCTGGTCCATTTAAAGTGCTTAACTCTTATAACACGATGGAGAGAAGTGCCCTTGGAAGCCCAAAATTCAGCAGCTTTGTCCACGATTAAAGCTTCCATGACAGGAAAAAGATTTTGCGTAAGTCTACTAATTTTAATGTGAACGTTTGGAAGGAAGTTGTCTTGCAAATACTTCTATTTAAAATTTCAACACTTGGTGACATTTAAATGAAAAACGCTAATAACATTTTTTTAAGATACTTGTTATGTGATTGAGATAATATTATATAAGTTTAATGTAATTGATTATAATTTTAAATATAAAACTATTAATTTTAAACTGGTGCAGTTTAAAAAGTAATATTTATACTTTGAAAAAAACTAACTTTAAAACTATAAGTTCAAGGTAAAGTAGGAGTTATTGTCTAGATTTTTTTGAAATTTATTCATCTATGAGTAGTAGAGGAAGATGATGAACCGAGAAGTAGAAATTGCTAGTTTTATATTTGCTAAAATATTAATTTAGTCCCTCAATTTATAAATTTATATCAAAATTATTCTTAAACTTTAAAAAATACTAAAATTGTCCCTACAATTTAATTTTTAGTACCAAAATAGTCCTTCTATTGATGAAAATGTCACATGACTTGTTATTTTGTTACAAAATTAGTTTTTTCTTAAAATATTAGTGATGTATAAAATCAAACAGTTGCATGCTTTTTGTCACCGGAGCATATTTTATTTACACATCACAATGACATATAATCAAAGTTGAAGGATCAAATCAGTTCTTCTAATCAAAGTTCAAGAACTAAATTAATATTTATCTTCAAAGTTTAAAAACTAAATTAGTGCTGAAAATTAAAGTTTAAAGACAATTTTGGTACCAAAATTAAAGTTTAGGGACTATTTTGGTACTTTTTTGAAGTTCAAAAACAATTACAATAAAATCTAAAAGTTGAGGGACCAAATTAGTATTTTAACATTTTATATTTTTCTTTGGCTTTATAAGAGCTAATTAATCATCTAAATAAGTTTGGTAATTTGTTTAACTAAAGATAATTAGTAACTTAAATTTTCTATGAGTTTGTTAAATACTTAATAATAGTGGTAATTTTATTTTTGATTGAATAGTAAATTTACTAAGAGTTTTAAAGATGAGAGCATAATTAGATAAGATTATAAATTAAGTGGAGGTATGAGGTGGAGTCCATGAGCTAAATGGCATAGAGAATTTTCTTTTTGTTAAAAAAGGAATGATTTTTCAAACTTAACATGCTCCTTAGACTTCCGTCAATGAAAGGACTAAATTGGTACCAAAAATAGATGTTTGAGAATAATTTTAATATTTTTTGAAGTATATGGACAAATTTGGTATAAATTTAAAAGTTGAAGCACTAAATTAATATTTTAACCTTTATAAAATCAATTTTGTGCGTTCTGGTACGTGTTACATTATCAATCCCCAATTTTCAATGTCAAACAAAATAAAAAATGGCGATGGATTTAAAAAAAAAAAAAAAAAAAAAAATCTGGCCACCTTTCCCTTCTCTCACATTGGTTTTCTCCTCTTTCTCTTATTTTCTTCTTTTCCCTAGCCATCACCATGTTTCTCCTCCTCGGCAGTTAGGGTGGATGGTTAAAGGTGAGAGTTCTCTCCTCTCTTGTGAAGTTTTCCCCTCTTATGGAGGTTTTCTCCTCTTTTTTTGAGGGTTTCTACCTTAATTTTCTTGATACTTTTTTTATTAAGATTCACTTTTGTTAGAGGAGGATGGTAATTTGAACATAATATTAGTTGAACTCATATCAATTGTCGTGTTTACTTAAACTATTCAAGGCATGGTTAGGAATGGGCCCCTAGTTAAATTTTTCTACTCTAAACCATTTATCTTCTATTTAAATGAATTATACTGGAATAATACTTAATTAACTACAAAATCTTGAGTTTGGATCTAACTACGATATTTATGTACATATTAAATTATTTAATAGTACATTTTTTACACATTTTATTAGTGTAATACTCTAGCGTATTACTCCCATTTGAGTTCATTATGTAATTCTTGTAATTTTCATATACCTATGAAATTATATTTCTCATTAGGAAAAAAAAAAAAAAAAGGCGATGGATCTTGGGGCGGTTCTTGAAGTTATGCCATAAGTCAGTGAGAAAATTTTCTCACTGAGATTGTTATGCTTAGAAACTGTATTTTGAAATTTAATAAATCCCTGCATTTATTCTTCAAATATATAAATCTCTCTAGTGCTTCAAATACATTTTGTTGATACAACAAAAGCAAGCCGTCTGGTTCCTTTTTTTGGTCATCTCAGTCACGTGACATCTTTGGGGCCTGGGAAATAGAGCGATTTTTTAAAAGGTGTAGATGCATGTTGACAGATTAGTGGAGGTAATTAAAATTAAATCCTTGTTGTGGATAAAGGATAGGGTGGGTGGATGTGGGTTTTTATTGTATGATTATATTATTTATTTGGAGTTGTGTTTCAAAGTAATAGATATTTAAATTATAATAGTAAAAAAGAATAGTGCTTATTTATTTTAATTTTTAAAGATTAAGAGAAATATTATTTTAAAATTATATTATTTTAATAAGTATTTTAAAAAAAAATTAAAATATCTTATTTTTAAAGTATGAATTAAAGTATTTTTTATTTTTTTTTCTCTTAATTTTTTGAAGTAAAATAAATAAATACTAATCTCATAATAAAATATGATGTAAATGAATAAGAGTAATAGATATTTAAATTATAATAATAAAATGTGAGGTAAATGAATAAAAATAGCATTTATGCTCACCACAATAAAATTTTCTTTTTATGATAAAAAAAGAAATACAATAAAAGCATCTTACTTCTGACTACTAACTTTTAAGACACTGAGAGAATGAAACACACATGAAACACACACACACACAACTTAGACCTGTGAATGTGATCCCTCTATTCATTATATAAAGGCTAGTAAGTTGTAGGAACTAAGATAAGATCATCTTTCCTTCTAACTGTGATACCAAATGCTTCACTCATGTCTAGATCTTCTCCCTTCATTCCATTTGGTAGTTTCCAATCAAAATGGTAGAGAAGTT